CCTCTCTCTCTCTCTCTCTTTCTGTCCAGCTTTTCATTTTTCTTCCTTTTGATGCAGCATTTTATAATATATATAATTATGTGTATATATACTTTACACTTTTTTTTTTATTATTTTACTCTAAAATTAAATAAAAATAAACATGCATATTACATATACTGTAAACAGATACAACACAATGTCTCCGCTCCAAAGTGACGCATACCATCTAGTCTTTGTATTCTTGTGGGAGCAGTTAACTAAAGCTGACCTTTTCCCTTCATCAAGAGAAATAGAAAGAAAAAATGAATTATTTATTACTTAAACAACAAGAAAGACTAGGAAGTAGGTTAACAACCTAACTGTACTGGAGTGAACTTGTACATCACTGAAACCGTACAAAACAGCCAGAGTTCTGTTTACTGATGTTATCTTGAAACTATCTGGCCCTTCACTGCATATCATTGACAGAAAGACTGATAGAATAAGAAACAAGTGTGGAGAGGAGAGGGAAAGGCTCCTGCAGATACATTTGGTGTGTACAGTATTGACCCATGAGAGTCTGCAATCTAGTTTCCAGAAGCTCTAATGATATTTAGCTGTCTAAGAATCAGTGCATAAAATGTGCTGTTTTATCTGCCATATCAAGAGAGAGTGCAAACAAACACCCATCCTTTCCATCTGTTCTTTCTTTTTTGATGGATGCAAGTGGCTCTCTCCTCTCTCTCTCTCTCTCTTTCTGTCCAGCTTTTAATTTTTCTTCCTTTTGATGCAGCATTTAGCAGTTGGGTTCTCAGATCACTGTGAAAGCACTTCTTTCTTTCTAAAAAGAGAAGCAGATCCTTTGAATTACCATACATAAACACACTGGATCTGCTCCAAAAATTTTGAGCTGCCCACAGACAGAACTTTAAGGCATCATGGACACTCTCCTGACATACAGGAGGTGTTGAGTAAAAATACATTAATTTTTATGTAACAATTAAGTAATTAAAAGTATAAAGTATCAAAAACAGATCAAATTAAAAATGATTATGCTCAAATCCTGTGTGTTATTGGTGTGTAGTTGCTGCCTATATGTAGCCTGTTCTAAATTAGTCACTAAGAGGTTCCATTTCAGTTTGGTTATGTAAGACATAGATAAGAGAGAGAGAGAGAGAGAGAGAGTGGCATGAGTGAGACATATTTGTGGTTTACGTGATTTGATTGACGTTTAGGAAAGCACGGTCTCCATCAGCAGCCAGCAGTTTCCTGTTAGACAACACAGCATCCCGGCCACACGTCAAGCAACCTCCGTTAACTCGCATCGACCGTGCAGACAGCTGCTGATGGATGGCTCCAAATTATAGACACCCACTGATCAACGTAACTGAGCTGCCAATCAATCAATCAATCAATCAGTCTAATCCGACCACAGCGGCCCACAGTCACGTTTGGCCTCGAGATCAGTGAGGACCCATCCAGCAGATATTGATCAGAACAAGACGTGACCTGTGGCCATCCTGCGCCCGAGGGGTCACTCAGGAAAGAACAACAGGAACGTGAACAGCACTACATGATTGACAAGATATGCTTATCGTCATAGTGACAGCTGACTTCCTTTGGTGGAATAAGAGTTCTCTAGAAAATCACTTCCTTTGATGTGATTCAGCCAAGAACCGCCCACTTTAGATGCAGGTTAATCTGATATGGATGGTGCCACAATAACAAACTGACTGACTGTTTACTGTACATAACGCAAGGCAGATTCTGCAAACAGCCGTTATAAAAGTGCCATAAGTCAAGTCGTGTGTGATGACTGTCATGAGAAGGATGAAGGCTCGAATTATCTGACACATCAAAATGTCACTTGTGTGAGAGTCTGTGAAATGTAAAAAAAAAAATTTGGTGCCATGGTGTGCTGACTTATTTTTTCCTTCCATTTCTGTCATTTATTTATTTTATAGTTTTTTTTATTCATATTTATCAAAGTATCATGAAAAAAATGCGTTACGGTTTCCACAAAAAAAAAAATCACAATATTTCACAACACAAGGCAGGTGTTTTCAACAATTAAAATAATTAGCATTCTTAGTAGAATAAATTACATTTTAAATAGTTATTGTAATAAAACCAATATACTCTACAAAAAAAAAAAAAACATTTTAAACCAAGTACGCTTCAGTGCTTGACTAAACAATTGAAATAACTGCATTTAATGGCATTTTCTTCTTGATTCACTAGAGATGCCAAATTTGATGTACTTGTGAATCTTCTGATTATAGGCAGGATGTGCAAGGAACTCCAAAGATTCACTGAAATCTTTTTTGTTCTGAATGTGATGAAGAGAGAAAAGAACACAAGCAAGTATGTGTTTGTGCTGGTGGATGGCAGAGGGAAAACACCGAATAAAGAATATTTTAAATGGGGTGACATGAGGACAGTGTCCAGTCTGGGTATTGTGACTGGAGGTAGAGACAATCTGCCAAAAATACACACACACACACACACAAATGGATAGAGAAGCAAAGAGCCAAACTGTCCTCACACCACAGCCAGCTATTACAGATCCAATGACCTAAGAGCAGTTATTTCCATCATATGAGGCACACCAGTGCTTCCACATCCATTAAAACAAGAGCACTTAAAGGGATAGTTCACCCAAAAATGAAAATGTGATGTTTATCTGCTTACCCCCAGGGCATCCAAGATGTAGGTGACTTTGTTTCTTCAGTAGAACACATATGATGATTTTTAACTCCAACCATTGCAGTCTATCAGTCGTATAATGCATGGCAATGGTAACAAAATCTATGAGTAAAAAAAAAACATGCACAGACAAATCCAAATTAAACCCTGCGGCTCGTGACGACACATTGATGTCCTAAGACA